TGTGAAGAACCACCAGATCAGGAGATCTTGCTATTGGGCAGCTCTGTCATCTTATCCCCTGCCTGCGAATCCTCTGTGTCTCTAGTGGCCGTGGTTTATTGTACAAGCCTCCTTGGGCTACAGGAAGGTGTTGGCGTTTCTCATTCTGTTTTGCTGTAGCCATTGCAGGGGTTTAGTCTGTGTTCTCCCAGGTGTCTGTTCGTGCCCTGTGAGCCTGCAAGGGATGCATCTTGTGTCTGTGCAAAAGGCTCCTGCACTGGCCCCCAGGATGGACTGAGACCCCTGTTGTGTCTCCGAGTCCCCGTGCTCCTCCGCCTGTGCCTGAGGCTGTCTCGTGCTTTGCATGCAGGTACAGGCTCTTTTGGGCAGAGGCTGTTTATTTGCTGTGAGTTTGTCCAGTGCAGCGTGTCTGTGTCTTGGTTTCGGACTGAGCCCACCATGCACCGCTGCAATGCAAGTTACTAGTAGGGGGGTAACCTGTGATCCAGGGAAGTGGTAGCACGAGATGAAGCAGTGGAGATGGCCAGAAGAAGAAGATGATGGCCCCAGAACAAGTTTCTTCTCCTACCACGCAAGCTGATGTTATGTATTGGGGCATGAGAGCTTTGTATCCTTGAGCGTTTCCAGACATTTTCACGTGATTGTGCATGTGTCACATGAACTGCATGGGTGAATCCTGCGAGAACCTCGTGTCCTGGGATGCCTAGAGGCAGCGAGTTCTGTTACTTAATGCTGTGTTGCCCAAAACCCTTCTTCTTGGACCATTATTATATTTGTTGTTTATTAGTTTCCATGGCAATTTCTTGGCATTTGTATTAAGTACATGTAACGAGAACCTGATTGACCTGGTGCTGTCCATTGTCTCTCAGCACAGGCTCAGTCCAGGTGTACAACCTTGTCCCTCCTCCGCTATTCACTGCCTTCAGCCTTTGTAACTCAGATGATGAGAGCTGATGCTTTGTTTGACGGGGGCTGCATCAAGGATTTAAGGAATGGTATCTTGTTGCTCACCCTTGCTCTCTGCAGCCCAGCCACACGTGTGTTTTGGGCCGGGCTGCCCCTGAGCAGCCAGACGTGTCCTGAAGAGTGCTCTGGCTCCATGGGCTCTGCAGCAGGGCTGGAGGTTGCCTCAGTCTGAGGATGGCCCCAGGGAGCAAGCCTTCAGTAGTCCCGTCCGTTCCCACGTTGAGTGTGAGTGCTGAATTGTGAGGATTGACGAGGTCTAGCACAATGCCTTGGTGGCTTTTCAGGATGCCCTGCAGACAGGCGGTGTGACAGAGAGCAGCCCTTGAGCAGAGGAGGGCGTGAATTGAATAATGGAAGTTCACTGCCATTAGAGAATTTGCCAAGCATCATCTGAGTTGGCTTCTTGCTATTCCTGCCGCAGTATCCTAGCTTCAAATTTCTGTGGCTGGTTCACAGGGGACCAGAGCCACTCGGTTACAGCTGCTGGGCTGCACGTGGAGGCTCTGACGTGGCCAGCTGCAGTGACAGGCAAGTGGTGATGGATAGCAGCGATTTCTGTGCTTGGATGCAGCTATTTGTCTTTTTTTTTTTTTTTTTTTTGCGGTTCTGGGCGGTAGTGATGGTCCAGAACACTTCCTTCCTTTCACTGCAGGTGTGCTGTGGTCGGGCTCTCTCCAGAGGCAGAGAGCCCTCACTTGGAAGTCACGCAGAGCACTTAAAAGGTGCAGTCCTGCTGTGTCAGCCTGGAACTTAAGTCCAAGCTTAGGATCCCTGAGATGGAAAATCCAGACACCTCTGTCAGAATCATGTAATAAGCACATGAAAAACTGGGGTGAGAAATCACTGCTGGAGTCCTGCGAAGGGGAAGCCACTGGGGCTATTCTGTCTGCTTGCCGACCATCCTTTCCAAGGGCTGTCAGTAAGCAGCAGCCTTCAGCTGGCACTGGGTTTAGAGGGTGACGAAGGAGGGGAAAGGATTTGAGCAGACCTGGGCTGCAGATGGTTCAGAAGGTCCCCGGGGTAATTGGACTTCCCAGCACTGTGCGCTTGTCCCACGGATGTCTGTCCTGGTGCAGTTGCTGGATTGGGCCACCTGGATTCTTGCGTTCAGTGGCAGCAGTTCCTGGCAAAGAAGTGACACGACCGTCAGCCACCCAGGGCTTCACCGGCTGCTGGGGGCTGGGCTGTTACCTAACCTGCAAGCTGGGGCTCCTCAGCAGGAGAAGGGACCGTGCCACCGGCAGTCCCAGAGCACAGAGCTGCTTCGTCTCCTTCGCCTGCTCCAAGACCAACGGCTCCAGCTGCAGCTTCTTTGTCTCCCACTCCCGAGTTTTGTCGGTTCCGTCAGCCAAAACTCCTCCTGCCTCTCCTTGCACTGCAGGAGCAATGTCTGTGCAGGCACCTTCCCCGAGAAGATAACCAGCGTCTGGTGCGGCACCTTTAGGACCATGTGCGATCCGTGCTGGGGGAGGCCGTGAGGACTCCGGAGGCTCCAGCCAGGCTCCAGCTCTTGGCATCAGCTCTTTCCAGCCAGGATTGTGTGTCTGGACTCCAGTACTCTGTCTGAGGCACTTTTTCTGCAAAGGAATCGGTATCTTCTGCCTGGAACACGATGCTACTGTGCAGTGGCAGGGATATCAGGACAGCCAAAGCCTTTGAGACTCAAGGAAGCCCTCGCTTTTACCGCTCTGAACTTAACCAGCGGGACAGCATAGGCAGAGCATTAAACGATGTGACTAGGCGTGCGCTCAGTCGTTAGCTATGCAGCTATTGCATCGGCTTTCAAAAGGCGTTTGCAAATCAAAAAGCCATCTTAAATCGTGTGCTAGGTTCAAGGCAGCAGTACAGTGCTGCCTCTTTTCTGCTGTACACGCCCGGTGTGTGAAGCTGGGAGGGTGTTTTGTATATGCAGCTGCTGGTAAATTGGGGTAAAGCAAGAGCTGCTTTACAGGTGATGCGGTGCACTGAGGGATGGAGGATTTGCACCCCACCTCTGCCCAGTGTGCCAGTGTGGAGCTCCTCTGTGTGACTCCAAGGTAACTGTGACCCTCCAAGCTCTGTCAAGGTTGTTGGGGAAGCAAGTCC